CTGAAGACGAGTCTTGTAAAATCGCTAGTAACGTCTGGCTGTAAATTATGATTAGAAACCATTGTCACAGTATTTCCTCGAATAAGTGCTCCCCTCACTTTCTTAAATAGGAGGGATACAAGGAAATTCAAATTCTCCTGTCCGTTTAAAGGAAAATGTTATAAGCGCCCTCCTTTGAAAATGCGCCTATCCTTATAGCTGAAAATTGAAATATGCGCTTATTCGAGGACATACAATATTTACTACAACTGAATCAATACTTGCCACACTATACTTGCAATAGCTGTACCTATTTCAACCTTTCGTTTAGTTGTGTTGTTTATTAGTAACTAGACTTAACGATACGATGAATGGTGACTAATATGCCAATGTATTGTAAACAAGTGTTTTTCCCTTTGGTTAGTTGAACTTGTCTATCGAAACGTTAAAAACCTTTTTAGTATTAAAGTGTGAAAAATGTCATTAAATTCTCAAAATCAAAGTCGTTCAAATTGATGCATCCCACACTTAAGAATTGGTTCATGCTTAGTGTGCATATATAGAGTTATGGAAAAACGAGGGATGTGTGGAGAGCAGGCGAGAAGCGTAAGAGAGTTGTTCGAGGCGTAGCCGAGAGCAACTCTAGCTTCTTTCTCTTCTTATTTTCCCTTTCGCGCTTTTCTCTGCCTCCTCTCCCTGTCCTATTTTGCTCCTATCACGCAGGTTACACACGCTAACTGATACGAGCTATTTTTAAAGGATGTAAAATGGTTCAAGTTTCCATTGAAGAAAACTACGGAGAAAATACAACTCCGATTCATGTAAGGAAAGCTAAGGCCGGCTTACTGGTGTTGGCGTGACAATAACAAAATCTTCCAGGTAGAAAGGTTACAAACTGTGATTTTTGCTGTGAGCGCATGCAACGTATTGAGTTTACCGTAAATGATCGATTAAGCGCAGCTACTCGATTAAGCGTCGCTCTCGAATAAGCGCCGCAATTTTACCGAAAATAATTTAATAAGCGCCGCTCTCGAGTAAGCACCGCTGCGCTAATTTGAATATTCACAAACTAACGCCCCACCTTTGTACAGGTTACGGCGCTTGATATCGCTTGAGAAAATAAGATCTCGACTAACTCGTGAGTTCTAAAGTTTTAATGTAGGGAAACTCTTGAAATCAGGTTCATATAACAGTTCGAGGTGTACATATTTTATACTAAATTGGGCTACGCTCCTCACTTAATTCTCTCTATATTCCCCTCAGTGTTTTACCAGTAGTTGAAACAAGCGCCGCTCTCGAATAAGCGCCGCACCTATAACAGGGAAATTAAATAAGCTCCGCGGCGCTCAATCGATCATTTACGGTATGCATTGATATGTTTGAAAACATTGTACAAATATCTAACTTGATAGATCTGTCTGAAGATCCATCAAGCTAAATTTGTTTCATTCATCTGTGACAGATGTCCGCTGTTGCTGTGGCAACAGCGTGTATACTTTTGGCTTGCGGATTCAAACAGCAAAGAGCTTCAGGATCTTGAGCGCCTGCAAAGAGAGAGCCACGTGTTATTATCTGATTTATTTGATGGGTAATACGTCCGCTCCACGGAGTGACGTGACTTACGGGAGAAAGCCAACCTCGTCCCTAGAGCTTTTCCCTTAAAGCCCTGGGGACGAGGTTGAGGAGAAAGCGTCCGGGGAGTGAAGGTCAACTTTTTCTTTCTCTCTTTTTCTCTATCTTCAGAAAAGAGCAGTTTATAGAAGAAACAATCATTAGAATTTAGAAGAAAGTGGAAAAAAGGGTACTGAAAATAACTTACGTTCGCTTTATAAAATTCTAATATGACTCCAAGGCTTTCTGGTCATAGTTTCTGTATTTGGTTTGATCATCCTCTGTGCTCAAGTCGATCCGAGAATTACGATGCAATGGAATTGTGAAAAATTTTCAATGTTGTCCCTTAAGCCTCGTATTTATGTTACATCAAAATCGGGCTGTTGAGATTTGGGTATAAAACTTGGCCTGTGTTCTAACGTTGTACGGATTAGTTTTGATTACAGCAAACGTAGGACCTGTCTCACTGCAAACCATGCAAAAATGGCTCCAAGTGCAAATCCAGCTAGAACATCGGTTAAAAAATGTTTGTTATCAGCGATGCGGCTCCAACCAACGAACAGCGACAACGAGACAGCAACGACCTACGGCAATGGCTTGAGTAATTTAGTTTCCGTCCTCGCAGCACCTTGAAGATATAACTTAGGAGATGAAGAACGAGGGCTGACCAACCTATACAACTTACTTGTAGCCTCTCACTCCACCACTCCCCCTCCTCCTCCTCCTCCTCCTCCTCCAATGGAAAACAGCCTTCCCCCTCCCCGGGCTCCCACCAATGCAAGAGAAAGTTACCTCTAGTCGGCGAACGCGACAGGGAAATTTTGCAGAACGCCGACCGCCGAATGATCNCTTTCTGGTCATAGTTTCTGTATTTGGTTTGATCATCCTCTGTGCTCAAGTCGATCCGAGAATTACGATGCAATGGAATTGTGAAAAATTTTCAATGTTGTCCCTTAAGCCTCGTATTTATGTTACATCAAAATCGGGCTGTTGAGATTTGGGTATAAAACTTGGCCTGTGTTCTAACGTTGTACGGATTAGTTTTGATTACAGCAAACGTAGGACCTGTCTCACTGCAAACCATGCAAAAATGGCTCCAAGTGCAAATCCAGCTAGAACATCGGTTAAAAAATGTTTGTTATCAGCGATGCGGCTCCAACCAACGAACAGCGACAACGAGACAGCAACGACCTACGGCAATGGCTTGAGTAATTTAGTTTCCGTCCTCGCAGCACCTTGAAGATATAACTTAGGAGATGA